ATTCATCTTTCTTCATTGCTCTGTCGGCGCATCTTAAAATATGCCGACGATTGCACATTGCAGAGCGGGAAAAACCAGCAAAAGGTGCGACCTTGCGAGTGGTTACTTGCCGACTCGGCTGTAAACCTAGCCTGTATCTGCCTTCTTAGCGCTAACAAATCCGACCTGTGTCTGCCTTTTAACTCCAAGTAAGGCAATAAAGCCACTAAGAAATGTGAGTGTGAAAGAATAAAAAATAAAAAAAACTTTATAAAAAGGCAGCAATATCAGCTGTAGAACAATATTAACAGTATATTAGATATTAACTGTAAATATTTCATTTTGCTAATGTTCACCTAATACAAGACCCAAGAGCTACTCAAGGTAGAGGGTTACTGCGAGGAGTTGTATTTATGTAAGAAAGGGCAGAAAGTGAAATTTCTGGGGCTATGCAGGAAAGGTAACCACTAATTCTAGACTTGAATATGTCACGGTTTAATTAGCGAATTAGTATAGTTAAAAGCATAGAGTTAACTCATCTCAAAATAATTGACACCTGATGATATCTAGCGGGGTACTTGGTCGAAACGTCGTGTCTATGACAAAAGCTATAAATATCAAAATAGATTTTAGAAGGAACCAGAAACTTAATCCTAAACAGGAATCAAAGGCTAAGCCTCTGTTCCTGTTAAAAAAAACAAACGGGGAGGAGTGTGAACCGGACAATAGGCAAACCTATCTGCTCCTATTGGGAAAGGAAGAAATAGTAATAGAGTTAGTGTGTAGAGCTGAGTTAGCTTAAGAAAGGAGAAGAGTTAGGAGTATAGAGTTTAGAAGGAACCGGAAACTCATTACCAAAGAAGAAAAAATGGATAGATTTCTATACCTCTTCAAAAGCCCGGGAAGGAGCGTCAAACCTATCTACTCCTGTTGATGGGAAAAATGTAAATGAATAGCAAATAAATATTGAGAGTTTTAGGCGGAGACGATAGAAGTACAGAGTTGAGGTTGACTTTAGAAGGGACCGGAAACCCAATCAAACACGAAACAAGGGATAAACTACTACTGATGATCCAAAGACCGGGGAGGAGTGTGAACTGGACGATAGGCAAATCTATCTACTCCTATTAGGAGAGAAAAATTAGTTTTAAGCGGAGACGATAGAAGTATAGAGTTGAAGTAGACTTTAGGAGGAGCCGGAAACTCACTGCTAAACAGGAAAAAAATGGATAGAACTTAAACTCTGTTCAAAAGCCCGGGAAGGAGTGTGAACCTGACGATGGGCGAGCCTATCTACTCCTGTTGAGGGAAAAATGTACATGAATTGTAAATAAAAGATCAGAGTTTTTGGAGGAGACGTTTAAAGTATCGAGTTGACGTAGACTTTAGAAGGAACCAGAAACCGAATCCTAAGCAAGAAACAAAGGATAAACTTCTATTTCTGTTCAAAAAACTGGGGAGGGGTGTGAAACTAACGATTTTCATTATAGAAACATTTTCCCTATTAAAATTGGGAAAGGAAACATAGTAAAAGAATTACTATGTAGAGCTGAATTAGCTTAAGAAAGGATAAGCGTTAGGAGTATAGAGCTGAAGTAGGATTTAGAAGGAACCAGAAATAGGAAAAAATAGATAGGCCTTTACACCTGTTCAAAAGGCTGGGAAGGTGTGGCAAACCTATCTACTCCTGTTGAGAGAAAAAAATGTAAATGAATAGTAGATAAATATTCAGGGTTTTAGGCGGAGACGTTAGAAGTACAGAGCTGAAGTAGACTTTAGAAGGGACCGGAAACCCAATCAAACACAGGAAACAAGGGATAAACTACTACTGATGATCAAAAGACCAGGGAGGAGTGTAAACCGAACAGCAGGCAAACCTATCTACTCCTATTAGGAGAGAAAAATTAATAATAATTACTGATTAAAATTCCAGAATTCAGATGATGCCAAAAGTACAGAATTGAAGGAACCGGAAACCCAATCCTATACAGGAAAGAAACGATAAACATCTACTCCTGTTCAAAATAACTGAGAGACGAGTGTCATATTAACTGTATATTAAATATTAATTTGGTTTGGTTTGTTTTGTTTTACGGCATATCAACCTCAATGGGTCATTTAATGCCGACATTTTTTTTCCTGGTAATATTTTTGTTTTGTCAAAAATCTATTTCTGTTAATATTTTTAGCTAATAATATTATTTTCCCCCAAACGTATAGTTGGTAATATTATTTTTTCAAAAACATATAGCTGGTGATATTGTTTCAAAAAACATATTGCTGGTAATAGTTTTTTTTTTCAAAAACGTCTTGCTGGTAATAGATTTTTTTTCTCCAAAAAATTATTTCTGGTAATAATTTTTTACAAAGTATTTCTGGTATTAAAACCTATTTTTACACTTTTATAATGCTTTTTACCTGAATTTCGGGGTTAACTATTTGCCCATAGCTGGGACCCTAACAGGTGCTACCACCCCGGGTCAGGGTGGACATAGGAACACCAGCAATTAAGAGGTGGTTCCATGCTCCTCAAAGCCTCCTGATCAGAGGCCTTGCTGTTGGACGTAGTTTATCGTCTTACCCTGGACGCCAGTGTAGTTTATCGTCATACCCAGGACGGATATTAAATATTAACTTATATTAAATAATAACAGTATTAATGTTAACCGCATTAACTGTATTCTACATATTATATTTTATATTACATTTTATATGATATACAGTTTTATTCATTTCATCCCAAGCAAGGCAATAAAGCCACTAAGACGCAAATAATTATTGAGTGTTATAGAATGTGCAAAAAAGAACACTATTAAAAAGAGAGAAAACAATAAAAAAAGAATAATTAAGAAGATAGAAATTAACGATGGACATTGCATTTACGTTTTTGAAGATCAAAGTTGACAGGAAAACAGGATGCCGAGAGTTCCACAAGCGAGAATTGCGAGAGAAGAAACTGTTAGCATAGAACTCAGCTATTTCAACTGTAAAAGGATGAGACCTAGCTGCCAATCTAGTACTGTGCTGAAGTTCATAAATTCGAAATACGAAAGAGGAAAGCTCATCAGGACAATTACTGTGAAAATATTCATAGAAAATGCACACGGCAGTTACATAAACGGGGATGGGGATGGGGAAGTGACGAAAGCCAAGATGCCGGGTTGAATTGCAGATTCCTCTTTGGATTTTATCAAGAATCTCCAAATGCATAACAGAAGCACAAGACAAGATTGATTCGTTTTATTGGAACGTTTTTTACGGCTTATCTTGAATTGATCCCCCACTTTATATCCATATTTATAATTTCTTGTTTATCAAATACTGATTTTAGGTACACAGTCATGTCTTTTAGATTTATTTACATGCAGTGGGATATAAATGCATAGAAATTAAGGTGGTCACAAAATGAGTGATCAATTTACATATTGATTGTAATATAGAATTGATCACCCACTTTATATCCATATTTATAATTTCTTGTTTATCAAATACTGATTTTAGGTACACAGTCATGTCTTTTAGATTTATTTACATTCTCTAGAATATAAATGTATTTAAAACCAGAAAATATTTTTAGATTGTAAGAATTGTTTTTTTTTTTTAGATAATAATGAGTGATGCAAGTTTCACTAATTAACCTATGGTGGGGAGTAGAAGAGATCGATTCATACCTAATCAGAACTTGATAAACAAACAAGAAATTATAATGTGGATATAAAGTGGGGGGTCAATTCTATATGGTTGTCAATATATAAACTGATGACTCACTTGTGAAATAAGGTTTCTTTATAAATTTATTCTAGAATGTTTAAGACATACATTTATATTAAACATTAAATGTAAATAAATTAAATATTTTCAATAATAAAAGACATGACACTTTTGTGTACCAGTAAATGTATTTGATAAACAAACAAAAAAAATTATAATGTGGATATAAAGTGGGGGATCAATTCTATATGACACGCAATATATAAACTGTTCACTCATTTTGTGTCCACGTTAGATTCTATACATTTACATTCCAGAGAATATAAATGAATCTAATATACATAACTGTGTACCTCATCAGTATTTAATAAACAAACAAGAAATTATAATGTGGATATAAAGTGGGTGGTCAGTTCTATATTACAACCAATATATATATTAATCCCTCACTTTGGGTACACGTTAGTTTCTATACACTTATATTCCAGAGAATGTAAATAAATGTAAAAGACATGACTGTGTAGCTAATCAGTATTTAATAGACAAACACGAAATTATGTGGATATAAAGTGGGGGATCAATTCCATATCACAATCTATATATAAAATGATCACTCATTTTGTGACCACGTTAGTTTCTATACATTTATATTCTAGAGAATGTAAATAAATCTAAAAGACATGACTGTGTACCTAATCAGTATTTGATAAACAAACAAGAAATTATAAATATGGATATAAAGTGGGGGATCAATTCTATATTACAATCAATATGTAAATTGATCACTCATTTTGTGACCACCTTAATTTCTATACATTTATATTCCAGAGAACGTAAATAAATCTAAAAGACATCACTGTGTACCCAATCAGTATTTGATAAACAAGAAATAATAAGGTGGATATAAAGTGGGGGATCAACTCCCTATCACAATCTATATATAAAATGATCATTCATTTTGTGACCACGTTAGTTTCTATACATTTATATTTAAGAGAATGTAAATAAATCTAAAAGACATGCCAGTGTAGCTAATCAATATTTAAGTGATTCGTTTTCGACGGTTTATCAACCCTTTGAAGGTCATTTAAAGCCAGAAAATATTTTTAGATTGTAAGACTTTTTTTTGTTGTTGAGATAATAATTTTAGAGAGAAACATTTCACTAATTAACCCATAGCTAGGGGAGAGGAGGCAGATTCCTACCTTTCCCAGTCGTATTTGCGCGTAAAGTGAATATAACGAAGCTAACTGAAATTGGACCTCGGCTTTCCGATCAATAATTTCGAACCATTATCCATTATATCCAAGATTACAGCACCTGGTACTCCCAAGCGGCCACACATCTAGGTACTGATCGGACTCGAGGTTGCTAAACTTCGGCGATCGTACAAGAACCGACGTTTAAACGTGATGTGGCCATAAGACCTCCAGACCAGATGTGACAGCAATATTCACGGACGAATGTAGACATACAAATGTGTAAAAGAGTTTCCAGTGGTAACTGTAAATGTGTATACCTTTTTAACTCTCTGGTAAAACAAAGCCATGTTTACTATTTGACAAATCGGACCTGGGCCTATCAATTTGTGTACACCGTACCCAAAGCTAACTTTTGTGCTCAAGAACATGCCTACTTTATTCTAAAGTACGCTCGACCTATGTTCATTTTTCTGACATTTGCGTAAAACAGACCTATGTTTACTATTTGACAAATCGGACCCAGGCCTACATTTTTTGGCACACCGGACCCAAAGCTAACTTTTTTGTGCACAAGGACATGCCTACCTTTTTATTCTAAAGTTCTCTCAACCTATGTTCATTTTTCTGACATTTCTTTAAAACAGACCTATATAATTTCTCGTAATTGTATTATACAACCACACGCAGACACCCACATATATGTATCGCGACACAGAAATTACTATTTTTCGAAACTGGTCATCCGTATTCAAGTTTAATTTCACTATTAAACTTTTACTGATGGATGACTCCAAAGATCGCTTGAGGATGAAACAGTTAAGGTTTAATTGTGAAATTAAAATTGAATATGGATGACTAGTTTCGAAACATAGTAATTTCTGTGTCGCGATGGAATCATATTTTTTTTAAAAAAATAATTATAATCTAAGCTCTACTTCCGTATTGAGCACTGTTTTTTTTTAAATAAAACAAAAATACTAAAGAACTTCGGATCATCAATCTAACAGTTTTTTCCTATTATATTAACACACGCACAGTTATATATATATATATATATATATATATATATATATATATATATATATATATATATATATATATATATAATTGGTGTATATGGAATGAATTCCAATAACCAACAATTACTATTCTTAAAAAGAGTGCTCAATACAGAGTAGAGCAGATATAATTATTTATTTATATAATTGGTTAGAATAAATTTAGAATAATTGGTTACAATAAATTCTTTTTTAATATTACCCCTATTTTAAAGATCTGAATATCTATTATAACATGACTTCGTTTGCTTTTTGAATTTTCCTATACTTGTATTTTGATTGGTCATTCTAGCTTTCGTAACAGCGTTTTTTGCGAAGGATCGTTAATTAATTTGAAACTTTTAAAACATTTATTTTACATTCTACATCATTACTTGATTTTGGGGGGTGTTGAAACAAAAATGGTTATTTTTGTAGTGATTTTTATAACATATTTATGTTGTAATTTTTTTAAATAAATAATTATATATATATATATATATATATATATATATATATATATATGACGTCATATATTAAGAAATGGACAAAGTCCGACAATTTATTTATTAAAGACATTTTATGTTTAACGTTCTGTTTATAGATACAAGTATTTAAAAAATCTTCTGTTTATAATAAACAGTATTAAATAAGAATTTACCGGCCTGAATTCCGAGAAATTTTCATAGAAAAATATTCCTGAAAAAAGGACGAATATTTTCTATGAAAAATTTTTCGGACATTCAGTTAAAGGAAATGTTTTTTAACGCCTTTTGTTTATTATAAACAGCATTTACTTAAATATTTGTATCTATAAAAAAGAACGTTAAACATAAAAATGTCTTTAATATATATATATATATATATATATATATATATATATATATATATATATATATATATATATAAGTATATGTGTGTGTGTATTTTGAAAGAAATTATTTTATTGTCTGTTAAATAATGACTTTGTAATCTCCGAGTATTTTAGGCATAACTCCCGAGTTATGTTTACATTTTTCTTTCTGCTATGATTTTTCTAAAATGAACAAACTTTTCAATATTTGGATTTGCACAGTCGTTTGTTAAAAAAGTTCGTAAAGAGGTGGAAGCCTCCTACGGGGATTCTAGAACAGTAACGGCTGCTGAGCATCCTAGTACCATCAGGACGCACAAATTTATACGAAAAATGTGCAGAAAATTATCAATAAGAATCCGAGAAATCGGTTAATGCAGTCGCTAAGGTGATCAAGTTTTCAAGACACTCTATCGGAAGAATTTTAGCATGAGGACCTTTCATATAAATCACGTGTGATGCGGAGAGGCCTGTTCATGTCTGCAAAGATAAAAAGATAGCCACCTGATCCTCGCAGAGCGCATGTTGAGACAAGTTGAAACATCAAAAGCCTGGAATATTTATTTTTCTCTCTGAAGAGAAATGTTTTGGTCTATATTAAAAGGTCAACCCAAGAAATGACAGCTGGTTACGCAAAGACCCTAAAGTTGTCCCAACGGTCATGCGCATAAAGTTTCCGGCAACTCTAATAGTTCTGGGAGTCGTGAGCAACGAAAGAGATGTCATATCTCCCAACTTCCTTCCTAAGAGTCAATAAGCCAAAAAACATGAAGGAGAAACTTACTCTATCACATGTAATAATTGCCACAAGGAATACACAGGAGAAACGTCAAGTAATTTAAATAAAAGATATGAATACAGTTGGGATATTTTACAAATAACCCACTTCATACTCACCGTAACGAGAGGGACCACAATCTTTATTTAAAAAAAAAAATAACAAAAAAACTACAATTAATTAATAAGAGGATATATCTTTTCATAGCTCTTTCTTCTAACACTTCTGAATATTATTTCTTTTCAGAAAAAAGGATGGCAAGCATCAAGCTTACTCACAAATTAAAAGGCACGCTCTATGAAAAGCGGCAATGATGCCTGAAAAGCAGAGCCTAATGCAGGGGTAGCCAAACCGCGGCTCGCGAGCCACATGCCTTTCGCGAGCCACATGCGGTTCGCGAGCCACATGCGGTTCGCGAGCCACATGCGTCTCTTTGACCTTTAATATGTAACTCGTAGAAATATGTTGACCGAACATCTTTTTTCATGACAGATAATAAAAGTAAAAGGTAAATAAGAAAAATTTCATGCTTTATAATTATTTACTTGGTATGAATTGAGACCACATTGGATTAAAACGTAACTTTAATGTTAACGTGTATGTAACAAAAACTTATGTGTAAATTTTGTCCATGTCTTGCGGTGCTCAAACATCTGAACTTTATTGTATTTAACTCTTATATTAAGCATGTTTGGCCATCCATAAGAGCAGCTGAATGTGAATGGAGCAGAAGGTGTGGGTTTTTGTCCTGGGTATGCAAACCCACAGAAACTCATTACCCAAGACAGTATCTACCCGTTATATGCAAAGAAGTAGCCAGGGACTGTTTAAATTAGTTATTCTCAACCGGAGTCCTTATGAAACTTTTGATTCCATGTAACATTACCGGGGTTCACACAAAAATAGCAAATTGGAAGTTAATTACTCACATATTTTGAATTGTTCATTTCGTCCAGACGTTCTCAAAGAGCGTGTTATCTAAGGTGATCAACAATTTGATCAAGGCCAGCACGCTTAAGCCCTCGGCCACGATGACTTGTGACTTCGTGCTAGCGCCGCTATCGACCACATACTCACCGTAACGAGACAGACCACAACCTTTTTTTTTTTAAAAAAATGCTACTTTAATCAATAAGAGGATACGTCTTTTAATAGCTCTTTTATTCTAACGTTTTTCTGATTATCATTTCTTTTCAGATAAAGGGTGGAAAGCATCAAGCTTACAAATTAAAAGGAACGCTCTATGAAAAGCGGCAATGATGCCTGAAATGCAGAGCCTAATGCAGAGGTGGCCAAACCGCGGCTCGCGAGCCACATGCGGTTCGGGAGCCACATGCGTCTCTTTGATCTTTAATATGTGACTCCTTTTTTCATCACAGATAATAAAAGAAAAAAGTAAATAAGAAAAAGTTTAAACTTTATAATTATTTACTGGGTACGAATTGAGGCCCCATTAGATAAAAACGCAACTTTAATGTTAATGTGTATGTCATAAAAACTTTTGTATAAATTTTGTTCATGTCTTGCAGCTCTCAAACATCTAAACTTTATCGTATTTAACTCTTATATTAAGCATGTTTGGCCATTCCTGGCATATGCAAAGAGCATCTGAATATTCTTTGGAGCAGGATTTTTGATTATTTTTTTTCCTGGGGATAAAGTTCAGAAACTCATTACCCAAGACAGTACCACCCCGTTATATGCAAAGAAGTAGCCAGGGACTGTTTAAACCAGTTGTTCTCAACCGGGGTCCATATGGAACTTGTGAGTCCATGTAACGTTACTGGGTTCCACACAAAAAATATCAAATTGGGGTTAATTACTCACATATTTTAAAATAGTTTATATATATATATATATATATATATATATATATATATATATATATATATATATTACAATTCCTTTTATTGTACATTTTTCTGTGTTAATTTTAAATCATTCCCGTTGAAGCCTGAATTAGCGAAACCTAATTTTTTTTTTTTAATATGTCTCGTAATATTAAGTTTTATACTTTTATTTCCATCATTAAATTTTGTACCTACAAAAATATCTTTTATATATATATATATATATATATATATATATATATATATATATATATATATATATATAAACAGAGCATTTACTTAAATATTTGTATCTATAAAAAAAGAATGTTAAAAAAATAAAAATGTCTTAAAATAATTGTCGGACTTTGTCCATTTCATAATGTGTGACGTCATTTGTTTACATTTGATACGCCATGAGCAGATATGAATGTACGTGAGAGATTCATAGAAGATTGAAGTTTAAAGACAGTAAATTCGACCTTGCTAACCGAAACCTTCTTCGTGGCCAAATTGATTAAAGGCACGTCAAGATAAATGACGTGTTCCGTATAGGATACAGGTTCGAATACTATCGGAAGACGAATATTTTATATGGAAATTTCTCGGACATTCAGGCCGGTAAACGTTGTTTAATACTGTTTATTATAAACAGAACATTTACTTAAATATTTGTATCTATAAAAACAATGTTAAACATAAAAATGTCTTAAAATATATTTGA